CAGGTTTCCAGTGTTTGTACCATATTATTTCACAACACTCAGCCATCCTTGCTTGAATGTAGGAAGGACCAATCAAGATAACATAAATCTGTCCTTGTAATGAACCCTAATTATCGAATAAACGACCTAATAACTGACCGTGTAATTACCTTAACTATATACTGCATGGTTGTCTTTATGGAAAAAACAAGGTGACTCAACAGTCCTCCTGATGTTTTTTTGTTTTTAATAAAGTTGCTTTGGTTTTAGAATGGGGGGAACAGAATATTTTTACAAGTGGAGAGCTGAGAACATGATTCACAAAAGAAATGTGAGGTTAGACCTGGTCAAATAATTTACAAGCTAGTGGGGGGGGGGAGAGAAAAGAAAGGGAGAAAAGGGAGGGAAACGTTTACTGAGCCATTGAGCACTTATTATATGCCCAGGCATCATGTTGGGGGTTCAGTACACACCTCAATACTGTTCGAGAGCTTTCTGCAATGAGAGAAATGTTCTATACCACCAATTTAATTCCCCCAACAACACCTGTTAGGAAAGTGAAGCTCAGGAATGTGACATAGCCATTCAAAGCCACCAGGAAGAGGCAAGGGAGAGAGTCTAACCCATGTCTGTTTCCAGGGGCCTTGTTAATTCCACACAGTGTGGTGCTGACTAGCCTCGCTCAGACAAAAAGATACATAAAGATAATGCATTACATCTGCATTGGTAATCATGCGACACGACACGTATTTCATACATATCATTTCATTTCATCCTTGCAACTCTTGTAAAGCAGGTGTTTTTATCCCAATTGATATATAAGGAGACTGAGGCAGAATGGTTGTCCAAATTTTTGTGAGCAAAATTGAGAAAAGTGAGTGGATGTGATCCTGAGGGTGGGGCAGCTTGCCCACTGTCCCACGGCCAGAGATTCTGGGATCTGAGATTAAAGAGGGAGCTTCTACAGCTTCAGATTCCACTCGTCTGGATTTTTAGTTCAGATGCTGTGTTTTCTCTACGTTTGAAGACCGCAACTCCTTAAAGGACAGGTCATCCGTGGGCGCCAACCTCCCCATTTGCAGAGGAGAGGCCCAAAGAGATCCTACACTTGCCTGGGGCTGCCCCTTCCTGGTTTTGATGAAATGCTCTGAGTAGACACAGCTCTCCTGCACTGTCACTCTAAGAATAGCAAATGTTACTCCAAAAGTCAGCAAGAAAGTGAGTTCAAATATCAATCAAATCCAGTTGCATACCTATGCATAGAGCTATCAGAAATAAAACTCCCTGAATGAGGTTCAATGGTACTGCTTTGGCATTTGGGACTTATCGTCAAACATTCTATTGTCCTCTCTGTGGTAGGAGATCACACACTCTGGAGCAACAATACTGAGCTAATACGGCAACTAGATTTTAAAAGAAAGAACTCAGGGCCTTGGGGGAGAATTCAGGTGATTAATTACAACATTCAAGGCAAAACCTATGTCTCATATATTATCTCTCCATCCATCTTTATCCATTTATGACCATGAAAATTGTCTCAAATATAGTGGTTGCATCACAGTATGTGTACTGTTATCAAGTCAGCCTGAACAGTGGGAGATAGTTTTAAATGTGCTGTATCCTCAAGCATATTTCAGAACCCACACTGAAGTACTCTGAGAAGATTGGCTTGATGTAGGCTTTGCAATGAATCTAATTCATTAATTTAATTTAACTGAGAAAAGGCAAATAAGACCACAGATGGCATTTTTGATTGTCTGATGCTGCGAAGTATATAGGGCAAGGCTTCTCTAGAGATCAATCAATACATCACAGTACGTGTCAAATAGAGCAACTCAGGGCACACAGAGGTAAGACTTAGATAATGCAAATAGTTAGGGGTCTGGAGGGAAAGGGGTTGGGAAGAATGGCCCTGAGCAGCACTGCAGAAAGACGAGGAAGCACCTACAGCATCCTTTTTGAGAGCAAAGGAAGAAGTCACAGCACCATTTGGAATCCCATAAAGGGAAGAAGGGAATCCGGGCAGGGGCACCCAGCCTGGCAACTTCCCACCACACATAGCAAAAGCTGGAGGCTGCAACCCAACATATAAAACCCAGGGATGTATCCAATGCAGCTATTGGCTCTAATTACAAAAGTGCTAGATTGTTTAAAAAGAAAATTGTATAAAATGCATTTTCCTTACCTAATTTAATTTCCATTTTTGACACCATCATATGCCAAGAACATAGTATCTTATAACATCGTGTCATTTAATCTCTTCTAATTGTCCTAACTCTTTGATGAAGTGGCTCATGCTCTTGCCATTTTATGGAGGAAGAAACTGTGTCTCAGTCCAGCTCTCTGGGCTGGTGAACGCTGCAGCAGGACCCCAGGCCCTGCTCTGCGATTCCAGACCCAGGTTCCTACCACCTCTGAATCCTGCCATTGTGTGTTCATGATGCCAAATTCCACATAATCAGTGGAGCTTTAAATAGGACCGGAGTTTTAAAAGGTGCCTTTGTATTGCGGTAGAGCTCTGTGCTAAGAAAATCCTTTCTAAATAAAAGAATTAACCATATGCATGGGAATGTCACAGGATTCTCTGACTCCAACTAAACCCCAGAAGTTTAGAGCTGGACACCTAGGCCACCCGTTTCCAGTACAAAAACTCCTTATTTAACAAGCAGTAAAACTGAAGCCCCAGGAGTGAACTGACTGGCCCAAATCCCTGCCGATGGCCAGAAACAGACCAGGACGAAGGAAAACCCTAGGGCAGCACAGTACCTGGTACAAAAGCTTAATTATGCTTTTGACAATGAGGCAACTTCTAAAAGACATTTTCTTAAAGACAGCGACATACACCGTATGTGCACTAGTTCTCTGACTATAACATACCTAGAAGTATTTACAAACATACATGCACTCATACACAGTGCCCCAAAAAGTATATTTTAAGAAAGGAAAAGAGTATTAAAATTATAATACTCAAGTCACATTTGATTTCTGCAATTACAAGAGATACAAGATACGATATATACGATAACAAATGTTATCAGTATATAATGCATATTACAATTTTAACATAGTTTTTCCTTTCTTAAAATGTGTACCTATTTCTCAGCACCCTCTGTATATATAGTCACACAATTGCTTGGGTAAACACTTTCAATAATATTTTTCTTTTTAGGGTAAAAAATTATATAACCCATCTAGTGAAAGTCTTTAGCTGGAGGCTGCAGCTTCCTCCGATGGTAAAGAATTATTGTAGTTAATATTTTAACAGCTGCAGTTAGAGCCTTCTCATCATAGAATAAATTACAAATACATACACATATTTACAAGTTACCATATGGCTATGGTCACTTAGGGCATAAAAAATGAATTGTGCTATGTGATGACTATTACAAAATGTATTTTAAATTAGTTTGTCAACTTTGGTCAGTGACCCTGATCGGAAATGTGAACATTATCACAAGTAAGAATTGTGTTCATCTAAAATAGTAATTATTGTACTTTCAGAGACGTGAACTAATAGTCACAGTAAGGAGACTTTACCTCTTTTATGTTTACACGGATGGAGCTGGAACATACTCTCCTAAGTAAAGTATCTCAAGAATGGAAGAAAAAGTATCCAATGTACTCAGTACTTCTATGAAACCAAGTTATATTTACTCACACTTTGTTATGAAAGATAGATCACAACTATAGCCCAGGATGAAGGAGAGAAATGGAGTGGGAAGGGGGGGAGGTTTGATAGAGGGAGGGTAAGCAGCAGGACCACACCTATTGCAAGGGTACAAGTCAAATCTATCAAGTGTAGAGCATAAATGTTTTAACACAATAATCAAGTAAATGAGGCAAAAGCTATGTTGATTGGTTTGATGTAAGCACATCAGATTGTATAAAAAAAACAACACATCGTATCCCACATATGCGTAAATGTATTCATGATCTATGTGTATATGACTTAATTAAAGAGAAGAAAGAGTGAGGACCTAAAGTCCTTTAAACATCATCAGATGTGGATGAGCGTAAGGAACATTCTATCACATGTTCATACCCCTAAAACAGGAGAAGTCATTTAGAAGAATTACAAATCCTTCCCCTTCCTATATCACTCTTCCAGTGTCAAGCCCAGACTGTCAAAACTCAGCATAAGAAAAGATGGTGAAACTGACTGCAGGTCGCATTCTTACTATAAAATCATTCTCAGCTTTGCACCCAATTTGTGCTCAGTAAATATTTACTGGGTATTCATTGCTTAACCAACAGCAAAAGCAGTTGTCTGTGCTGATAAGTCAACTACCCAGGAAATTAGAGAAGGCAAATGCAGTTCCCGTGTGTGGGTGTGTGTTTTACAGATAGTGGATGGGAAGATGAGCAACGCCCAGATGATTCTTCTCATTGACAATGCCAGGATGGCAGCGGACGACTTCAGCCTCAAGTAAGTCTCCTCTTCACAGTGTCGTGTGGGGTTCTGTTTTCTGGCTTTACTAAAAGAAAACTCATCTTGCCATTACCCTCATCTAAAATCCTACAGTTAAAACAGCAGATCCAGTGTGTGGTACGCAAATGGCCCCTACCTTAAGTGAACCAGATATGAAACAGACAGCCTGGGGATATTTGAATATGAATGAAGACTTAGATGATGTTAAAGAGTGGTTATGAATTTCAGGTGGGATAAATGTTATACTTATTGAGAAGAACATCTTTTTCTTAAAACACACTTGCTCAAGTATTTAGTGATGAAATGTCATCACATCTATAATTTGCCTTAAAACACTTCAGCAGTGAATACAGATGAAGCAAATATGGCAAAATGCTAAAAAGTCGCTAAATCTAGGTGTTAGGCCTATGTCTATTATTCTATTCTTCTCACTGTGAAAGTTGACTTTGAGTCATCATCACAGAAAAACATAGCATGAAACAGACATACAAAGGACAACCTATATTTACTCATTTTCTCTCATTAAACCTTACAAAAGTCTCCTACGAAAAGTAAGAGACTCGTCTCTAAATTAAGATGAATCCCTTCAAAGACCATAGGCTCCCAGCAAGAGGCCCACTCTTCTCTTCCTTCTAACCAAAGGTATGAAAATGAACACTCCTTTAAGAAAGACTTGGAAATTGAAGTCGAGGGCCTCCGAAAGACCTTGGACAATCTGACCATTGTCACGACAGACCTGGAACAGGAGGTGGAGGGGATGAGGAAAGAGCTCATCCTCATGAAGAAGCGCCATGAACAGGTAGGACTCAAGACTCCCCTCCACGGGGCCTGGTAATGAGCACAGCTCTTCACCTGCACAGTTCAGCTGCGTGAGAAACCACCACCTGGGTCCCAGTCCTCATGTCTTTCAACCTCAAGAATCACTAAAAGTGTTTAATTTTTTTTTTCCAATTTCAGGTTTACCTACTCACATGTCCAACATAACAACCAAAATGCAATTACAATTAATGATGAATTGGTCAACATTTTTGCAACACAATGTTTTGTTAACATGATACTAGAAGAATAAATGTGTGAGACTGAACTTCTTTCATTGACCCAATGTGCAGCAAATTGGGGAACAATAAAATAAACAGAATCTGCTACAGATTCTGCTAAATATAATTCTTAATTAAAATTTTTCCAGAAACATCTAAATGGCTTTATTTATCTCTTTTTTTTTTTATTTTTTGGAGACAGAGTCTCACTCTATTGCCTTGACTAGAGTACCATGGCATTAGCCTAGCTCACTGCAACCTTAAACTCCTGGGTCTATAGGTTCCCACCACCATGTCCAGCTAATTTTTTTATTTTTTTGTAGAGATGAGGTCTCACTCTTGCTCAGGTTGATTTTGAACTTCTGACCTCAAATGGTCCTCCCACCTAGGCCTCCTGGAGTGCTAGGATTACAGGTGTGAAAGTGAGCCACCACACCCAGCCTTAACTGACTTCTAAAAAGTTTCAATCCATCTGAAGTTCCTGAGACTCTGATAAAATGATAGAAAAACAATTCCCATTTTAGGCAAACAAAATTGCTTCAGAACATCAAAGGGCCTGGTTTCTGAATAGCTGGTTAGACAATGATTGTTAATTAAACCTTCCCTGTGGCTGCTTGGTTTCCATGAAATCCTATGGGCGTCAGCTGTACAGTCATAAGGCATTGACAATATTTTTAAAGCCATAATGCTTTCAGACTTTTGTTCACTGAACTGTTTCCTAAAAGCTTTGGCCTATAACCTGAAACATTCAACTGCTTAATTGTGTAGCCCTTTTGCCAGTGAACATTTGCTAAAGAGTACTTTGCATACTGTATAAGCACAATTCTTTCAGTAATCACAGAAGCCAATCGATTACCTGTCTTGTGCTATTCCTTATAAAATTATTATATTTAAAAAAATCTTATAATCTTTTGCCATCAAAAAGAACTGAGGAACCAAACCAGACCAAAGTGTAGCAACAACGTAAGCTGAATGTTTAAAAGCTCCATTTACTGCTGCCAATCAATGCAACAATCCAGCCCTGTGATTGTCATAACCGATTCATTTTCTGTCTCTGTTACTGAACAGGAAATGAAGGAGCATCATGTGCCAAATGACTTCCAGGTCAATGTGAAGGTGGATACAACTCCAGGTGAAGATCTGATTAAGGTCCTAGAGGATATGAGGCAGGAATATGAACTTATAATAAAGAAGAAGCATCAAGACTTGGACACTTGGTATAAAGAGCAGGTAAAAAACAATTGCTCAAACTTCCCAAAGTTTCCATGTCCACATGGTCCCAAAGCTGATGCCTCTGTTTCTCTTGTCTTGTAGTCAGCGGCCATGTCCCAGGAGATAGCCACTCCAGCAGCTGTTCCGAGCAACCAAAGTGATATCCATGAACTGAAGCGCACATTCCAGGCCCTAGAGATTGACCTGCAGGCACAGTACAGCAGGGTGAGTCTGGGCTGGGAGAATCCCAGGTCCCACACCACCTCCTCCATGAATTCTTCCATGACTCCTCTCCTAGGCCCCTATATTCCAAAAACTCCCTTGAGGCAATCTCTCACTTTCTACTTTGCATCCAAATTGTACATGATGAAAATGGTCATAAGAGGTGTCATGAACTGAGTGTCCAGATGGTGCCAGATGTGCTAAGTAGTTCATTATATTAAATGTCATTAATCCTCACATTAACCTTTCCAGGTAGCTCCTAGTGTCCTCATTTTAGAGATGAAGAAACCAAAGCTTTAGTAGTTAATTGGCCAAGGTCACACAGCTAATCAGTGATCAATGGTGAAACCAGTGATGTTTTGGGGTGGGGAGATTCTAGGAGATTCTATCCCCATAATTCCTATCAGCACCCTCTCCACTTACAATCAGGCTGCACTCCCCCACTCCTCATATACGGAAATTCTGGTGCCAACATGGCAGGTGACAAATCCAGGCCTATCTAACACCAAAGAACTGCTCCATTATTATGTGTGTCCTAACCCCCAGCAAACTCAAAGTTCTTCTGTCTAAGTGAACCATCATCCTAATGGTTTATGAAAATGCTCTGTATGCATATCATAAGCATTCAGAATTCATTAAGGAATGTCTATCATTCAATTCCCTTTACAGCCTATTGAATGTTCTAATCATTCATCAATATAATTCCTGGGTGCTTCTCCACCCTCACTGTCTTGCAAGGAAACCATGTGTTTATTTGTTTTGCAGATGCCCATGGCAAGTGTTATGTTTTACTAATCCATAATGGTAAAGAGATGTTAAAAATGTGTATTGTATCTTGGCTGTGAGTCTATCTATTTTAGAAATGTGCACTATATAGATGACAATAATGAACACAGAAATAATTATAGTGTTTTGCAGCTTTCGAAATACTTGAACATACACTGTTTCACAATGACTCTGTGAAGTGGGCAAGGCATTTATACACCCATTCTCATGCATTCTGCTGTCAGATAGTATTCTTAGCACTAAGGATTCAGTAATGAAAGAGTTGGTATTCTAGTGGGAGTGACAGTCAATATGCAAATGATCAAAATATAGAGGTGGAGAAAATGGTAACAAAAAAATGAAGGATGGGAGGAGGTAAGACAGCCCTTCTCTGAAGACACAAAGACAATAGTCCCAGTTGCTGTCTTCTTCCAGGAGTTTTCGATCTAGCCAGAGATGAAATGTAAGCAGAGGAGGTAAAGAATGGCTAAGACCAAGGCAGCAGGTGCCTCATGTCTGGATGAGCAGTGCAGACAGTAAACAAAGGCTGCGGTGTGCCACGGAGTCACCCAGAGCTCCCTGATATGACGGTTTTATGCTCAGAAAATGGGCTTCCAAATTCCCAACACTGCTCAACTCCTGACTTCCCCAGCCCCAAATCTGTAAGTCAACCTCCTTGTCACCTAGAGATGCCCAGCAAACCCTAGGACACTGAGAGGAGGAATCAGCACATGCTAAGTGCTACTGAATCCATCGAGCCATCAACTGGTTAACAAAAGAAATATCACTTCCTCTTCCAGAAATCTGCTTTGGAAAACATGTTATCAGAGACCCAGTCTCGGTGCGCCTGCCAGCTCCAGGACATACAGCAGATCATCTCGCATTATGAGGAGGAATTGATGCAACTACGCCACGACCTGGAGCGTCAGAACAACGAATACAAGGTGCTCCTTGGCATCAAAACCCACCTGGAGAAGGAAATCGCCACCTACCGCCAGCTGCTGGAGGGAGAGAGTGGAGGGTAAGTCTGGTGTGAGAGGGGCATGTCTGGGCAATAGCCACGCTAGAGAAAGAAAGGTTCATGCTGAATTTCTCTGGAGGATACCTCCATCAGGTTGTATTTGATTAAGCGGCTAGGGTGAATTAATCAGCTAATACTTCTAGGACACTAAGATTTGCAGTTAGAACAGTTAAAATTAGTATATTAAAACCTTTAGAAGGAAACACTTGAGAAATTTTTGGCTATTGTGTTTCCTGGTGGGAAGGCACACAATTTTGGCTTCATGAAAAGAAGACGGCAGTGGGAAAAGATTCATAAGAGATTGAAATGTCTAATATGTCTGACACCCCAAGGAAATGACTACTCGGCCATATAAAGACCAGACATTCTATGACCTAAGAGAATGGGTTAGTTAAAAAAAAAAAAGAAAGAAAGAAGAAAACTACATAAATAAAATGTCATCAGACCAAACCTTGAGCAATCTGAGAAGCTCAGGGTTCGCCAGCTTGAGACCTAGACTTTAGACAAGCTCCTAGTGGAGGCAAAGCCTGCAGCTGGCTGAAAGAATGGGGCGATATTGTAAGCCTCCCCAGACTCCAGGATTAGTGAGAGGCAGTGCTCCCTCCCTTCTGGACCCAGGAGGTTCTCCCATTAACTCATGACCTTGAGACTACTGAGCTCAGATAATTATCCTCATTAGAGAGCTGAGAATTTACAAGCAAACGAAGGAAGTTAGTTCATTCTGAGTTTGTATAATTGTTGCTAATACTATGTGACCTTTAACCTTTGTCACTTTTATAGGACAATGGAGGAATCTAAGTCGAGCATGAAAGGTAAAAAAATTTCTTTTATTTTTTATTCTTTTTTTCTTAATGAATCAGCATGTTTATCTGTTCTGTAGTAGTTATAAGCCTTAGTGTACTCCCAAGTATGCTGTATTCAAAAATTATTTCACTTCCAAATGGTCAGGAATTTTCAATTAACAAATTAGGTGAAGCAGAATGAAGCGGGCTTTTGTTTGTCCTCAATATATGTGAAAGCTCTTTGCAAGCAGTAAA